AGGTAGGGGCCAGACAGTTAGAGGTGGAGGTCAGGCTGTTAGAGGTGGAGACCAGCCAGCTAGAGGTCGTCCCAGGGGCGTAGTTCAGGGTGGTGGGGCCCAGCCCCGGTGTTATGCTTTCCCAGCAAGGACTGAGGCTGAGTCATCTGACGCTGTTATCACATGTATTGTTTCAGTTTGCAGTAGAGATGCTTCAGTTCTATTTGATCCGGGATCTACTTACTTCTATGTGTCATCCTATTTGGTTGTGCCCCGTGATTCTTTGAGTGCTCCTGTGTATGTGTCCACACCAGTAGGAGATGCTATTGTTGTAGATCGTGTTTATCGTTCGTGTGTGGTCACTATTGAGAGTCTTGAGACTCGTGTAGATCTTCTACTTCTCGACGTGGTTGATTTTGATGTCATACTGGGTATGGATTGGCTGTTACCTTATTATGCTATATTAGATTGTCACGCCAAGACGGTGACATTAGACTTGCAGGGGTTGCCTCAATTAGAGTGGAGAGGGAATCTTGGCTATTCTGCCAGTAAGGTTATCTCTTATGTGAAGGCTCGGCATATGGTCGAGAAGGGGTGTCTAGCTTATTTGGGTTATGTCCGCGATTCTAGTGCGGAGGTTCCTTCCATGGATTCAGTGTCGGTTGTTTGTGAGTTTTCAGAGGTGTTTCGTGCAGACCTGCCGAGGATGCCACCCGACAGGGATATTGATTTCTGCATTGATTTGGCTTCGGGCACTCAGCCCATTTTCATTCCGCCATACCGCATGGCCCCGCCAGAGTTGAAAGAATTGAAGGAGCAGTTACAAGATTTGTTTGATAAGGGCTTCATTAGACCTAGTGTCTCGCCCTGGGGTGCACCTGTATTGTTTGTGAACAAGAAAGATAGATCGATGAGGATGTGCATAGACTATCGGCAGTTGAACAAAGTCACCGTCAAGAACAATTATCCATTGCCGAGGATTGATGATTTATTTGATCAGCTTCAGGGTGCCAAGGTATTTTCAAAGATTGATTTGAGATCTGGCTACCATCAGTTGAGGAATAGGGCATCTGATGTTCCTAAGACAGCTTTTCGGACTCAGTATGGGCATTATGAATTTCTAGTGATGTCATTTGGGCTGACAAATACCCCAGCAGCATTCATGGATTTGATGAACCGGGTGTTCAAACCCTACCTGGATTCCTTTATGGTTGTGTTTATTGATGATATCTTGATCTACTCCCACAGTCGAGAGGAGCATGAGCAGCACCTTCGGATTGTTCTTCAGACTTTGCAAAGTTACGTCTTAAAATATATATATATAACTCAGTTTCTATTTCAGATATCAGTTATGGGCTCAATTTCTACGTTAAGTTTCAGTTTTAGCTTACAGTTTTCAGTTTTCAGTTTATTACTTGGTTGTAAAATTTTATATGATTTATATGATTTTTCGTATATCCCTTTTCTTTCTTATATTTTCCAGAAAGTCTCACTCCGCCTTTTTAGGAGGTAGCCTATGAGACTTACTGGGTATCCTTTGGTGGTACTTAGCCCGTTTGAGCCTGCTACATCGTGTGGCGAGTATTGAGGACGCAGGTAACGAGGTACGTGGCTAGAGGAGATATTCTAGATTTAGTTTATAGACTCCGTTGATTCACCCCAGCGGTAACGAACCCTATTCAGACTTATTTATATCTTTTTTTTTTTACGTTTATTTTATTTTCGGGGATGCCCCCATAGGCTATGTATTTTAAAATTTATTTTTCAGATGCTAGAGGCTCATGACTTGTTAGTGGGTCAGTATTGAAATAGTTTGGGATTTATCCTTTATTTATTATTTTTATCAGTCAGCTTAAGAACTACAACTTGATTAGAATTAATATTTAAGTATGTTAGATTCTTTGATATTAAACTTGAAGTTTGATACAAATAGTATAGGGTTCACTCAACGAGTGGTAAGGGTTGAGTTCCAATCATGTCCCATCCCAGTTTGGGGGCATGACATCTTGCCTAGTACCTTTTGTAATTACAAACAAGATTTGTCTGAAGTCACTTCCAAGAATAATTGTTTTACCTCCAAATGAGTGATCTAAATTTGATGGATCCTTAAATCTTAGAATATCTCTAAGCGTTTTATCAAGAGCTTCAAAATAGTATTTATGCATCATTGGTGCCTCATCCCAAATGATCAATTTTGCCTTCACAATCAACTTTGTCAAAGGACTGCCTTTTTTTATATTGCATGTTGAATCTTCAGTTGGATTTAGAGGGATCGCAAATCTCGGCCTCCTGGTAACAAAAGAGAAGCAATACCACTTGAAGCAACCTTTATCACTATATCGCCTTTAGATCGTATGCCAGAAGACAATGTTTTATAGATAAAAGTTTTGTGAGTTCCTCCATGACCATATAAAAAGAATAACCCTCATTTATCTTCATTCACTGCAGATATGATTTTATCATAAACAGTCTTCTGTTAAAATATTAATTTCATTAATAATTGTTGATGTTCCTGTATCAGAGAACGCCTATTAAATTGCAATTCCTCATTAATTAGTCTGTTGGCACCATAAAATTCTTCCTCATTGTAATAGGATCTTGGCATTGTCGGAAAATCGTTAAAGCTTTTTCCACAACCTTTAAAAATTATGTCCAGCTTTTTCAAGCAACGATTTTTCAATTCATCATCGGTTAGCTCTGTCTCTGCATGACATAAAAATGTTAGAGTTCAAAATAAAATATATACTCATACTTAAACCTCAACCATGTAGTTTCATGTATATGTAGTTTATTTATATGAGCATACATATCATTGGTTTTTTATATAGAATAACATATCTAAGCTTGGATCTGGAGTACTATTTTTAGTTCTTTTAACTACATGTATTAAAATAAGTCAAAAGAAAAACCTGCAATTTGTGATGTCGTTTAGAACATATAAGAACAAAATGTAGCGAGAAAAGATTGATATTATAAATTGATCAAATTGACTTTATCAATAGTTAAAAATAGAGTGTTGTCTTCATCTATCATTCTATAATATTCAACAAAGTAGAATATTATAGAAGTTATCATGTATCAATATGTATTCCTCATTTAATCCATATAGTAGTAAAAGTGATTTGTTGTTGCGTCAACAAACGTTTTAGGAAAGTGATTTGTACATCTACCATTCTGCATGTAAGGAGAAGATTTCTTAGCATAACTACATGGACCATGCATCATTAAATTTTTTACGGCATTATAATAATTAGGATCACCCACTTCATCTGGTATTTCTGCCGAAATTATTCGATCAATATCTAACACAGATGAAAATTTATTATGCTCATGGAGAAAAAGTAAGATATGAGCATGAGGCAGCCGTCGTTTTTGGAATTCAATGGTATAAATCACTGCATTGGATATTACGCAAGTTTATTAGAAAAAATAATTGTCTGAATCGTAGAAAAAAAATCATATAAAATCACCATCCTTATTTAAATTAAATTTTAAATATTGTATACCTGCTTTTACTTGTCCAGAAACTTGATTATCTCTCAAATCCTTTTGTTAAGCAGTCCAATTTAATTTTGAACACCCTACTTAAAATGTCTGGACGATCTTCATAATTCAAGTCTCTGCTCTCCACAAATCTAGTAATCTCTGGCCACTTAGGATTGCAAGTAAATGTGATAAAAAGATCAGGGTACCCAGCCCATTTGCATATTGTCATAGCATCTTGATAATTCTGAACCATATATCGTGCACCCCCTGTAAAGCTTGAAGGTAGAATTATCCTTTTACCTTGGGATGAAGGATCGATGTCACCATGCAATATAGCATCTGCTAGGACTTTATAAGAATCAACTCTTAATTGCTTTTGATAAGTCCTTATAAACTTTAACCGAGAAGATTCTAACATTGCATAACCATCAACTAAAAATTGCTGAAATAATCTTCCTGAAGACAAAATGGTGGGAACTTCATCTTTTCTTTCCTGAATTCTATAAGCGAAAAATTCTCGCATGGTAACACATTGCCTTCCTCTCAATGATGCATCACCTTGACTTAAAGAATGTCCTCTTTGTACCCATCTTCACCATAAGGAAAAGGCAAAGGATATTGTAGACCTAAATATGCAGCATATAATTCATTTATCCTTTGTAGTTGTCTAGATTGTGTTTCTATAATGATATCGCAGTCACTTCTAGAAATTTCAAAATCACCAACCACCAAAGCAGCTACTTTTGGTATTGTTGGTAAGCTGTATCTTCTACCATCAGTACCTCATTTCCCTATTAATCTGAGCTTAACTTTGGAGACTATATTCTCTTGGAATCGATCTCTGACCATCCTAAATGTCTTTGCCAAAATATTATTGTCATCAAGAATTTGTTTCAGATCGGAAACTATTTCAATATGAAATTTATTAATATCTTGGTCACGATTGAAAAAAATATATGATATCAATAAAGGCTTTTAAATTAATTGTTATTTTCATAGTATTATATAATAAAGGTATAAGACTAACTTAATAGCGTTGATTCTATTTCTAACTTCATTCTCTGTATCATATATATATATATATATAGAATCTGAACGTATAGATCCTTCACGAAGTAGTAAGCTCCCAATTTGATAATAGTATTGACCACATAATCTGAACGTTCTTGGCCCTCTTTTCTGGTTGATAGAGACATCAACCTTACCCCCATTGATGTTAATGAGAAGATAGAGTTATAACTCCGAATATTTTCTTGAAAATGGCTACTTTTAGGACCTATATTAAAACCATTGCAAATTGATAAATGTGAATATAAGCCGATTTGAACATGTTGATATTAAAAGTTATAATTTCTCTAACCTGATCCAAATAAAAGTTGTTCCAAAACTTCAGGAGGCTTCTTAAGTTCGGGAAGCTTTATTTTTCCACGATCACAACACATTGTAAAAATAGGTTTTTTTTTAGTTGTAATACTTGCAGATTCTTTCTTTATACCAAAAAAGAGCCCTGCACTTTTCGCACTCATATGTAGCATCTCCTATATCCCAGTAATCTACACTTGCAATAGTATATAAAGTCAAAGACAGAAGATTATTGATTTGTTTTATCGAACTGTATTGTATGAATAAGGAGTTTCTCATAAGTACCTTCTGTGTAAATTTTGCCACATTCAACATCCACCTCTAAGAAAAGTAGTAGTTAAATCAATTAATAGGGATTGTACATAGATATATACATCTATATTAGGCAATATAGATTGTTCTTTAATAATAACAGAAAAGTGCAAAGTGTAACGACCCGACTTGTCGTTTTAAGAATTAACGCCCCGTTCAGTGACTTAAGGTATCGAGCAGCTTCGTAATATGTATTATGACCGGCGGGTGTGGTCGAGTTTGATTTTCGGAAGATTCAGGATTAAATTGAAAGAACAATTCTCATTTTTGAAACTTAAATGAAAAGAGCTGATCAGAGTTAGACTTTTGAGTAAACGATCCTGGAATAGAGTTTTGATTATTCCAATAGTTTCGTATGATAATTTTGAACTTAGGAGTGTGTCTGAAAAATTATTTGAAAGCCCGTAGTTAAATTAGGCTTCAAAATGGCGAAAATATGAAGTTTAAGTTGGAAGTTTGGCCGGGGAGTTGACTTTTTGATATCGGGGTCGGAATCCAATTCTGAAAATTTTTATAGGTCTGTTATATCATTTATGACTTATGTGCAAAATTTGAGGTCAATCGGACTTGATTTGATAGGTTTCGGCGTTGAATGTAGAAGTTGAAATTTCTTAGTTTCATTAAACTTGAATTGAGGTGCGATTCGTGGTTTTGATATTGTTTGATGTTATTTGAGGCCTCGGGCAGGTTTGTGTTATGTATTGGGACTGGTTGGTACGATTGGACGGGGTCCCGGGGGCCTCGGGATTGATTCGGGGTGGTTCCGGACCAAGTTTGGGTGTTTTACTGCTGCTGGTTCTGGTGTTGTTCTTCGCGTTCGCGAGGAGCCTCTCGCGCTCGCAAAGAAGGATTTTGATATTGGGACTTTGTTCTTCGCGTTCGCGAAGAAAGAATTTTTGTTGTCCGTCGTTTGACTTTGAAGGCTCATATCTCGTAATCTATAAGGAATTGAAGATAATCCAAAAATACAAATTGTAACCCTGTCTAGTTTTTTAGAAAGGTAAATCATTTGTCATTTGGAGTTGTGTACAAAAAGTTATGGTGGATATACTACAGGCTGTCTGGGAAGCGTTTGGAAATCTCTGTTGCACATGGCTGAGTTTGGAAGCTTATATCTCGCAATATATAAGGAATTGGGAAATGAGCAACAAATGAAAATTAGAGACCTTGGAGTCTAGTTTTCAGAAAAATAAACCATTCATCATTTGGAGTTTTGCAAAAAAAGTTATGACCATTATACTATAGGCTGTCGGGAGAAGAGCTTGAAAATGGCTGTTGGAGAATTTGTTCATCGCGAACGCGAGGGGAGGGTCGCGAACGAGAAAAACAAACCCCTAGGCAGCAGAATAAAGTCCAAATTTATCTCATTCTTCTATTTTTGGACCAAGGAAGCTCAGGTGAGACGATTGTTCGAGAGTTTTTCAAGAAAAATATTGGGGTAAGAATTCCTAACTTGATTTTGGTTAAATTACGTGAATCTATTGCTGTTTTTTATCACTAAATTAGTGAATTGGGTTGAAAATGGTAGAAATCCTCTAGACTTTAATTTAAGATTTGAAGTGCGATCCGTTATCGGAATTTGATAATTTTGGTATGGTTGAACTCCTATCGGAATGGGTGTTCAGATTTCGTAAAAGTTTTGTCGGGTTCCGAGGGGCGGGTCCCGCACTGACTTTTTAGAATAAAATTTTAAGTTGGTATTTTATTATCCGAAATTATTTTCAATGAATTTTAATGAAGTTATACAATTGATTTGGATAGATTTGAGTTGTCCGGAGGTCAATTCAAGCAAGAAGGCTATTTTGGAATATCGGCCTAACTTCAAAAAGGTAAGTATCTTGCCTAACCTTGAGTGGAAAAATTACCCATTAGGCATCAAGTCTTATGTGACATTTGTGAAATATGGAATGTCGTGTACGCGAGGTGACGAGTACGTACTCGGGCATATATATGCAAAATATATTGGGTTAAGGTCTTAGGCATATTGTGTAGTAAATTGGATAATTATTGATATTTATTAAATCATCTATTTTGTCATGCCTCAATTCATGTTTGTTGAATTTATTTTTATATGACAATTTGATGTGATTATTACTTGTATATTTATTTGGATTCCGTGAATTGATGATTTGATATTTCTTGAAAATTAATTTCATTATGGATTTTCCATCTGCAAATAATTAATTAAATAATCTTAAGAAGAGGTATTTATATAATTATTAAGAATTTAGATTAATGAAGGTGTTGCCCTATACTGAGTATTTTCCATTTCTGTTGATTGTTTGAGATTTTATATACGTTGCGTGGAGCCTTGGGCTATTTTTTGAGAAATTTATTGATTCTGCTACATATTTAGAATTTGGTTGAGGTCAGTGGCAAATTGTGATATGAATTGTTATATTGTGTTGTGGTTTAAACACTCTCCTTGATGTTATTTATGCTTCCTACCTTGCTTGTTAATGATATACATGTGCTTGATAAGGTAGAGTGTAAAGCACGAAGGGTGATGCCATGCCATGTGAGAGTTTAAAGCACGAAGGGTGATGTCGTACCATTTGAATTATATTATCATGTGAGGGAGAGTGTAAAGCACGAAGGGTGATGCCGTGCCATTTGAGAGTGTAAAGCACAAAGGGTGATGTCATGCCATTGAGAGTATAAAGCACGAAGGGTGATGCAGTGCCATTTCATTTATATTATCAGGTGAGGATGAGAGAAAAAGCACGAAGGGTGATGCCGTGCCATTATTTTTATATTATCATATATTCATGGCACGAAGGGTGTTTCCATGCAGGCGAGGACGAGAGACATACATTATATTGTCATATCATTTTGTTGTGTATACATTCATGACTTTATCTTGAGATGTTATTGTGCACCTATATTTTCTATGTGAGNTATGTTGAATATATTTCTCACGCCAAGAAAGTTAAATGAGGTGTCACATGGTGACTTTTATTTGTAAGAATTATATTTGAAAGATATTTACTTGAAAGAATTATATTTGAAAAATATCTACTTGAAAGAACTATATTCGGAAGATATTTATTTGAAAGAATTATATTTGAAAGATATTTATTTGAAAGAATTATAATGGAAAGATATTTATTTGAATGAAGTATATCCGAAATATATTTATTGAAAATGATTATATTCTAGAGACTTTTATTGAAAAGCCTATAGATAAAAGATGTATATCTTGAAGGACTTGATTAATTGGTTGTACTTGTGTTTATTATTCGTTTGAGCAATATTTATGGTGTTCATGTTGCCTTGCAGTTTAAATCACTAGTTGATTGGTGTTGCTATCACTGCTATTTATTTTTTATTATTTTTGTATGTTATATTGCACAGGTTATTTGACTAGTGAGTGTCTTGACTGTACCTCGTCACTACTCCACTGAGGTTAGTCTTGATACTTACTGGGTACCGACCGTGGTGTACTCATACTACTCTTCTGCATATTTTTGTGCATAGCCAGGTATTGAAGATATCAGATTCAGACAGAGATTTGAGTATGATCGCAAGGATTCAAGATAGGACTGCTTGGTCATCGCAGTCCCTTAGAGTCTTTCCATTTTATTGTATTGTTAATTTCTTATTCGAACAGTATTGTACATTCGATCCTCGAGATCATTCCATGTATTCAGTTAGAGTTCGTGACTCAGTATTACCAATCTTGGGAGGTTGTATTAAATTATATGTTTAAAAAATGGTGATTATAATCGACTTACTTAATCTTATAGACTAAGTGTCATCACGACGCCTGTGATGGGATTTTTGGGTCGTGACACAAAGGTATGGTTGTCATACCTGGATACTCTTCATCATCTTCATATCCTATGTTAT